TCTGGTGGCGAGAGATTTTAATGCTATCGAAATAGATTCAGAAGGTCGTTCTTCGATATACATCTCCTGAATTATTAAATTCCATATAATTTTCGTTATTACAAGACATGAAATTATCGAATTAAATATGTGATAAAAAGTCAAATTTTTATCATCATATTTTCTTAAGAATTATTAAATCTTTAATCATTAACCTATTTTTTAATATGGATTTTTAATTATTTTAAGATTTTCGATATTAATTATCGAATTAAATATGTGATAAAAAGTCAAATTTTTATCATCATATTTTCTTAAGAATTATTAAGTCTTTAATCATTAACCTATTTTTTAATATAGATTTTTAATTATTTTAAGATTTTCGATATTAAAAGAGTCGTCGTTGTAACGATAAGATATATGTGATGACTTGAACACGAAATTTACATATTTATATATGGAAAGAACTTTGCTAAAATATTTAAAAAGTAGCTGGATAGAAATCTGAAAATAATTTTGTTAGAGAGACCAATAAGTACAAAGAACGCTAAAGCTGATTGCTAGAATATTAAACATTTTTGCAACATTGCTTATTATGCTTGAGCGTCCTACATATGTAATTTAGTTTTGATCTAATAAAATCATCAGATCGAACTAAATTTTTAGATACTTTTATTTTAGCAAAAAATTTTTATGTGATAACGTAATGTGTAACCAGTTTGATCTACTCGAAGGTTTAATACGATTAAAATAAACGTTTATATTGTTATCTTTTGGAAACCAGAATGATAAATAGTTGGTGTTGTAATTGAATCGAAAGAACATTTTCTTTGCTACACAAAACACGGAATCTCTATATGTTACTTATTGAGTGCGCGATGATTAAATCGCTGGTCGTTGACACAGCGGTTACTATGTCGACAAGGACTTCTTCATCTCTGTCGGTACCATCGTACTCGTATTACGAATAATCGTCGAGAGTGCGCATCTAGAGGAACGACGCGTAACCCAACACGCCCCGTGAGGAGGAGGACTTGAGGTCACTCAGGCGAATGGAGCATTGCATGAACAAGAAAATGTTGTGCTGCGAAGAGAAAAAAAGGATAGACGCTTTATTGAAAGACGCTCTGAAATTGCATCTCCAAGAGCATCTCGAGAGCTGCAACTAATATATGGAAAGAACGATTTTGCTGAAATATCTAAAAGTTTATCTAGCTATAGATCTGAAAATAATTTTATTTGAATCATCAAAATAATTAAGTAGAGCGCTGAAACTTTTGCAAAAATGTTAAAAATTTTTATTTGTTCTGATTCATCATATAATGTAAATTAATATAAAGTTCGTTAGTATTAGGTGTACAACTTTGCTTCCGCCGTTTTTTTCCGAAATTCGAGGCTTTATTGTAAAAAACTGGTTATACATTTATCACTCAAAGTAGTGTCCATCGCTGGCCACTACTTTC